AGGTGTCCTAACCAATCTGATATAATCAGAGTAATTATTTTGTTTATGTATTTTTGTCCCTTATAATTTTTATAATGGATAACATAAATTTAAACAATACAACTAATTAACTACATCAAAAAAAAATATGATGATTATTTCGAAATTTGGCAAGTCAAGGTTACACGATCGCGTCCAAATAATCCTATTTATTTATGTATTATATATTATTATTTATCTCCATATTTAAATATAAAGTGAGGAGGCTTTACAATGAATCGTCAAAAAATCATATTTGACAGAACCTGGAACATAAATAAATCAGGGACAATAGACTGGGAAAACACTTGGCACAACATATTTAATATATAGCAGGAAATTTACCTCGGTGAGAAAAAAAGAACAAGGCTTTTGAAACTCTTACAAAAAGCATATTTGGCATCCCAATGTACATGCGGGCGTGTGGTGGTGGTAATGAAAAAGTTATGGCTTTATGGCTATTTGAGCAATGCAGTTTTGGCGTTACAGCTAATGAATCCTTAGATCCTCAAGAGGCTAAATGAATTTCAGGCACAATGAGAGGTGGTTTAATTTGTGTTGAAAAGGTTATGGAAGGCAATATGACTTTACTAGTATGTATCACTAAAACTCTTCTTTTCGATTAAAAAAGGGAAAGTTTGCGGTGCTTTCAGATTATCGATACAATAACCAGAAGTATAATCCCTCACTTTAGAATTTTCCATACTGAGATTGAGCTTCAAGAAGAAATGAGATCGGTATTCTCATATATATATAGTAAAATAAATAAATACATCATGTCTTGAATAATTCCAGAACTTTTGGATTAAAATACACATTAATTCACCGAGTGCATTGATATATGACAATGTCAAATTCAAAATTACAATTAATGGAATTTTCTTTTGAGCGTCAAAAACTAACCTTTTATTATTATTATTATTTTAGAGACATCAATGTCTAAACTTATCCCGTTGCTCAGAAAAAGCATTCAGATTTCCATATCTATGATTCCCTATGATACAAATAATACCATTAAGGAAAGTACTGTATATATATAATTCAAACAAGTCATCTTTTAAACAGGATCCATACCACTGAATTGTGGCCAATTTTAAATGGCAAAAAAGATCGAGCAAAAAAAAAAAAAACAATCAGTTGCAATGTATATATAACGTGCAACAAAAATAATTGGAAAACTATTCCTCAAATTAATTTATCTTTTTAGATCATCTGTTTTGTTTATTATTTTTTCAATTGTTGTAAAAATTGACTTTAAAATGTTCACATCTGACAACGTCAGATTCTATTACATTTCTAGAACCAGTGCGTGAGAACTTCACACTCCGACAAATATTCCCCTTCTAATATCTATTTTAACATTGAAAAAATTAAAAGACGGGCGATATTTTGCACAAAGGTGGTAACGGACGACCAAAGAAGATTACTGCGTATGCTGTACGTTTAATTGGACAAACTAATTAGAAGGGATACTCCAGTTTCTGTAAGATCATTGGTAAACAAAGTAGCAACAAAAGGAATAGAGGTATCTCACATGACTATCTCGAGACATTTATCAATCTATGGTTATAAAAAAAGCCTTCCAAAAGCCATCCCTATGCTAACAACAGTTTACAAGGATAAAAGAATTGAATGGGAAAGGAAAACTGAATGATGACTGGTCATAGACATTATTCACCGATGAAACAGCTTTCCAACTGTTTAGGAATACAGTGGAACGTTGACATAAAGGTGTGAAGCCAGTTCGTCGCATGCCAAAAGACAGAATAAAAAACTTTAGCATGGGGCGGATTTTGTGTAAATGGATGAACGAATCTTTTTTGCTTTAGTCAAATAATGGATATGAATTTTTATGTAAATATTACTTAGAAATCACATTCCAGGGGTTAGTGAGATGTTAAGGGATGTTTGGCGATTTCAACAGGACAATGATCCTAAACATACTAGTAGAATTGTCCAAGCGTTTCTCAACGAAAATCTTCCTGAATTGATGGATTGGCCATCGAACAGTCCTGACTTTAACCCCATTGAAACCTCTGTAGTATTGTTAAACGAAATGTTGAAAGAAGAATGCCAAAAAATTGTGATTAATTAAAACGTTTTATGAAGGAGGAATGGGATAATATTCCAAATCATGTTTAATTAATTTAATCAACTCGATGAACGATCGTTGTGAATTGATTATTGAAAAAAAAATGGCGAAAGAATACCAAATTAATTTATAATAAAACTAGAGTAACGACAAGTGGCGGGCGATAACCACCTCCACCATTCTTAAAACACTTATCCATATATTGCTGGCGAGGCATGTTTATAAAAAAAAGAAGTTTGTGATTTGATCGACGCGTACGCATTAATTATTTATCCTATTGGTTTTTTTTATTTTTTGACAAAGTCCAAGGTGACAAAACGTGAGTGTTGTTGTTTGGTTTGGTTTGGGAATACGTGTTAATAACTAACCAGAGGTACTTTTTTTTTATTTGTATTGATATAATGTGGTGTCTTTATTTTATATAAATATTTTAATTGGAAATCAAGACACGGAGCAGATCATTTCTGGGTAATTTTACAAGATTCTTATCAAGATTGTGTATTTTTCTTTTCGTAATCGTTAATAATACTAATTTTATTTACAAGATGTCAAGGCAGCACACCATTTAAAAAGAAACAATTCAAGTATGCGAAGTTGATTATCGGAAATTGGCAAGTGTTGAAGCACGCATGCTATCTTGAACACATTACAGCTATTCTCTCACATCTTCCTCGTGTTCAAAAGGCCAATCTGACCTGATTGATCGATAATACAACGATGCAACAGAATTCCAAGGGTATTGCGTGGCTTTGGAATTTACTGAGACTGCATCAATTGTCAATGATGCTTCCACTAATCTTCCCAGACCAGAGATGGCTGCTGGAATGCTGACCGAAAAGTTGCCTGCAACGATCCTACTCTAGGGTAAGGGTGGCTCTGTGACCAAGCTGTCACAACTCTGGAAGAATATTAAGAGAATTTGCAGCTCGTTCAAGCACAGGAGGTCACAATTCAGAGCAGGGTTTGTGACCCTGAAATTGCATTTGGGCTCTGATGTTAAGAGGAAAGTTGTAAAATAGTGTTTGTTTGTATAATAATTTTCGTAAATTCTCTGTTTCTCTGATACTAACCAATTTATAATTTTGGGTAGGGGACTCAACGGGGTTTTTGCCCAATCAGTCCCCTGTCCTGCAGGTTAAAATTATCACATGATTATATACATCTTTGTCAGCAACATGGTCAACAAGGAAAAAGTCATAAAATGGTTCATATTTTGGTATGTTATAAATTAACCATTTTCATAAATACTCTGTTTTTCTTTAATTTTTATTTGACCAACTGAACTTGTTATTTAAATGGGGGTAGGATTGTTGGTGAGTATGCATGCCACCAAAAAGACAACTACCCAGGACTCAAAACTCCAAATTCAGGGAGAATCCAAAACAATAACCTGTGTTATAGCCTCCTGAGTTGCTGAACTTTCAAACCAGTTGCAAGTGCCAACTTTATACTGAAGAGGTATAACACAATCATCCACACAGGCACCAGCTATCAGCAATCAATGCCAATTTGCTAACAGCAAGCCTGGTCAGAGGAGGAGACAAGTAAAGGTTTTGTCCAAAGTCTTCCAACATGTGATGGACTTTACCCTTAGGAAAAAATTCCCATGGTTATAAAGGGTATTTGCATGTTTGTGACAGGAAAATTTTAATTAAATCTGACACCTGTGATCAACATCAGATTTATTATTCATGAGCAACCATGATTGATAATCAGGAAGAGTAATTTATTATTGTGAACCCCAGAGATCTGGGTAGACACACATTATTAAAAGTTTCATTTATGCATGGCCTTGATGTTATTTATTACCTGGGTGATGCAATTGTTTGTTATGTCAATGATGATATCAAATGTATTGAATAATAATTGTGATGAATATAGAGACAAAGGAATTCACACATGAGGAAAGTATTAAATAGCAATATTGTATCTTATTTTATTTTTGGCAATTATATACAAGCTTTAACCAAAAAACTAGTCATATATGTTTAATTTTAAAAGTATATCCCAATTATTAGCGGTCTTTCCCAACGAACAAACTATTATTAACTATTTAGAAAAACATAGATGAGATGGAAAACTGCCAACCTCTCCTTATTGTCCTAATGGAAAGGTTTATAAGTGTGCTAATAACTGGTATAAGTGTAAAAATACCAAAAAGTTCTTTAATGTGAAAACTGGAACCGCTTTTGCTAATACCAAACTACCATTAAGAAAGTGATTTTTAGCCGCTTATCTTTTTACTCGCAAAAAGGGCGTTTCCTCTTGTCAATTAGCCAGAGACCTTGATATTAGTCAAAAATCAGCCTGAAATTTACTAGATGATTTACGAAGCAACCTTAAACAAACTAACCTTATTAAAGACATGTTAAAAGGTTTTGTGGAAATAGACGAAACCTTTATCGGAGGCAAAAACAAAAATAGACATTGAAATAAAAAAGTTCCTAATTCACAGGGCAGAAGTTGAAAGGACAAAGTGCCAGTATTAGGCATGTTAGAAAGAAATGGCAACCTTATAGCCCAAGTGGTTCAGAATACTAGACAGGAAATAATTGAGCCAATAATTAAGGCTAATATTAAGCAGGGTTCCAATGTCTTTACTGATGAATGACATGCTTATAAAGATTTACACAAAAACTTTAACCATGAAATAACTAATCACAGTATTAAGCAATATGTCAATGGCAAGGCTACAACTAATTCTATTGAAGGCTTTTGGTCTCATTTAAAAAGGGGTATTTATGGGACTTATCATTGAATAAGTAAAAAATATACACAGAAATATATAGATGAATTTGTGTTAAGATTTAATACCCGCAAATGTAGCGAGCAGGAAAGATTTGATTTAGTGCTTTCCTCAATTGTAGGTAAAGTTTCAAGTTATAGTCAGTTAACTTCTACTTTCTAACTTTTTCTTTAACTCTTGAATTTCTTTTCTTAAATCATCTATCTCTTTTTGCTCCTCATCGGCTCGGTGAGTTAGTTTAGTAATTTCCACCCTATCTTTACTTAATTTAGCACTATAATTAAAAAACATGCCAAAACAGACAATAATTACAAAGCATAAGGCAATTGCGATATGACAGCAATCAATACCTCTCTTTTGTTTAATTTGTTTCTTTTCCATAATTTTCTAATTCTGCTCTCTCTCTCTCTCTGTATCATCCTTATCACTACTAATAAACATACTGGCTATACAAGCGAAAAAGAAAGACAAGAAAAGACCAACCGCCAATATGGCTCACATTCCACCTTTACTTTTATTTTTACCTAATCTAACTAAACTATATATCCAATAACCAATAATAAGGGGTCAAAAAAGAACCCATACTAAAAACCTAACATTTTCAGGGAATATTGCTACTATAAATAATGAGGCAAAAATATCTATTAACATAATATTATAATTTTAGCATTTTTTTCCTATACACGAATTATATATAGTATAGAGTATAAAAACTATTTATATGACAAGAAAACTAAATAGAAAGCAAAAGGACAATGATATTCAGCCAGTAAGCCAAGAGGAATTTGACAAAGTAATAAAAGCCTTGTTAAATTCTCCACCTAGGAAAAAGAGGAAAGGAGGGAAGTAGTTTAAAATTGTATATAGTTCCCTTATTTTTTATTTTAACCAAGATATATAAAGAAAAAATACAAGATAAAAAAATTGCAGAGTGATTGCATGGAATCCAAGGCTGGAACAATCACACCATTACATGTTCCAAGGTCAATCAAGCAATTATTTGAATCCATTGGTGCACTTATTGAAAGGGATTAGGTTTGTATGCAATTTAAAAATTTTTTATGTTAATTTAGAGTTCCATTTTTCTTTGCTCTTGTAGTTTGCATTTTACAATTCAAGTTATTTACCTTAATGTAATTATCATTATCAAATTAATTTTTAAGTTTCAAAAATTGATTATTTTGAAAAATATAATTTTTATACATTTGTAAGAATTACTTTTCAACAAGATAAATTATAAGTATTTTTGAACAGGTACTTTAATTATTGTAAAAATACAAATTACCTTTATTTCTTAGAGGATAATCCTTTTTATGTTAAAAATACATAATAATATAAATAATAAAAATATAAATAAATTATAATTAACCTTATTGTTATAATCTATTCAGAAGATATTTAATTGATTATCTCAAATAAATTAAGTAAATTTTACATCTATAAAAAGTAAACAAAATATAAATCACTACACATGATTTGTTAAAGCAATAATAACATTTTCTGTTTATGATCAACAATGTGTGGAAAAATTCATTGGTAAAGGTAGTCAATTTTTTATTAACTTGTTATTATTTCATTTATTGTTTGCTTTTTAAATTGTCTTTTCTCATTTTGATTATTAATGATGATAAGCTAGGTCATAATTATTTTTCATGGGGAGGTTGACCAAATTTTCCCAATTTCTCTTGGGATACTGGGGATGGGTTCAACACACCGTCCTTTTCAAGGCCCATTAATACTAGAAAAGGATGGTAACAGGTGTGGCGTGGTGAAGGCGCAGAAATCCGTCCCCTGTCCTTTTTCACTACACTCCTTTGCCAAGGAACTTATTTTAATATGTTAGGGATTGGTAGAACTTATTTTAAATTATCAGAAATCATCTGATAAACCATGGTCTTTTAACAAGAGTTCATGGTAATATTAAAAAGATGCCTCAATGTAAAACTAAAATGGTGATTGACAAAAATGTTGCAGAAATAGTAAAGAATTTCTGAAAAATTATGTTAAAGTTCATGGTTTGCCAAGCCCAGGGAGAAGTAACAATAGAATAACTCAATAAGTTACATTCTTACCATCTGAAATGAGCCATAAATCTGCGCACAGGTATTTTCTGGCTGATATAGAAGAAGATAGCAAATTGAAATCTTTGAAATATAATGCCTTCAGAAAATTAAGACATCAACTGCACCAGAGATTCAAATTATGAGTCCAAGAACTGACTTGTGTGATGCTTGCCAACATTTTCAAAATGGTTTACATTACAATGCTCGCCAAGAAGAAGAAGCTGAAGAATTACTCAAAGGATTTAAATAACATCTGTCCAAGGCCAAATTAAACTTTTAACAATGTGTGTCTACCCAGATCTCTGGGATTCACAAAATAAATTATTTTTCCTGATTATCAAATTATGGTTTCTTATGGATAATAAATCTGATGTTAATTGCAGGAGTCAGATTTAATTAAAGTTTCCTATAACAAACTTTGCACAACGGGCGTTTACACACCGCCCCATTCCTATGAAATTTTTTCCACAGGTGAGACACTTGCAATTTTGAAGCCTTTGGACAAAACTTTCCCTATCTTCTCCTCAGACCAGGCTGGATGTTGTCATATGAGCATTGATGATTGGCATTTGTGTGACGATTGCTTTGAGTCCCTGGTTGCTATTTTTATTGGTGGCACGCCTACTCACCAACAACCCTGCCCCCATTTAAAAAATCAAATTCAGTTGATCAAATAAAAATTAAAGACAAACAGAAAATTTGGGAATGATTAATTTATATAATATACCAAACGAAATTTGATCCATTTTGTTTTACGGCTTTCCTCCTAACATCAGGGCTACCAACCTGTTCTGAATTTGCGACTTCTTGTGCTTGAAACGAGTTGCAGATCCTCGTTGCTTTGATGCTTATGCTTGGTTGCAGAGCCATCCTTAGGATTGTTGCGGGAAAACTTTTGGGCTTTCTCACTGGTCTGGTGCTGTGAGGGAAGATTAGTGAAAAAGTCATTGACGATGATGAACCCTTTGATAAACCCCAGAGCCATGCCCCCCACCCCTGGAACTCAGCGCATCATTGTATTCATCGCAGGGTGCAGGTCAGATTAGCCTTTTGAACATAAGGAAAATCTGAGAGAATGACTGTAAAGTGTTTCAAGGTAGCATACACTTGCTAATTTTCCGATAATTAAACATTGCATATCGCAATGTTTCATATTCAATGGTGTGCTGTAATTAAATATTTATAATAATATTAATATTATTACTGATTACGACTACAAAAGGCAAAATACCATTCATTTACCATCTTCGTAAGGATCTTATTTCCCAGCAAGAGTTGTTCCGCATTTTGGTTTCAATTAAAATATTTATAAACTAAAGAACATACATATCATCAATACAAGTAAAAAAAAAGTACCTCTGGTTAATTATTATCGTGCCAACAAAATCTCGCTCGTCTTAAGGTTTTCTCAGCTGGGCACAACCGATAGCGAAATAACATCGTTTTGTCATTGAAAATATATATTGTTTTAAAATAAAACAAAGATTCCATATCGGGGCTTTATTCGTAATACAAATTCTTATTCGACGTATTACTTTGCCGACAATCACTTTGCCGACAATCATTTTGCCGACAGTCATTTACCGACAACACGTGGCGCGCCATTTTAGCATTTTATTAGTTGCTTGATTATGTGGAGATTAAATGTAAACCCCGAGTTGTCGGTAAAATGAACTGTCGGTAAAATGATTGTCGGTAAAAATGAATGCCTCCCCTTTAAAAATTCGAATTAAAAAATCTATTCGATCTATATATTAAAATTATTCATTATAACAAGATAATATAAACAATAATTATATTTATAATCTATATTACTACTATAATTGCTAGTATTATGACTTAAGGAAAATGTTAGCTACTACTAATTATTATTATCACTATATTCAAGGACTAAGGAAAAATAGATTGATAAAAAAATTTTAATTGGATTGAATTATTCGAACTATTATTATTAATTTTATTACCAAGATAATGATTTAATGCTAATTGGTTTGTTGAAGAATCATTCCTTACACGTTTAATTGATCTAACAGAAGTAGAAGTTCCTGAAAAAATATTATCAGTATTGCCTAAAACAATTGATAAAAATATAGATAGAAACATGTAAATAAATATATATGTACATATATAAAAAAGAAAACTCTCATGTATTAAATTGGTAAATATTTACTAGATCTTTTTGTGATTCTTTTTGTTTGATTATTTCAAGATGATTTTCTACAAATTCAATTTTATCAGAATAGCAAGCTTTAAAATTTTCACAATCTAACAAGTGTTTCCCGATGCTGTTCACAGTGTTTGAAATTTATATAAAACTTCACAATAATTTTATCAAATTCTTGGAATTCATCTTTCTTTATGCTTTTTGGTGATAAAGCGATCACTGTTTTTGCCTCAACATCCTCAGATTTATGACACCATCTGCTAGGTACCATGTTTCACTAGATCTGAAGCAATCTGAGAAGTCATGTGAACTTCCAACATCAATTCCACCTTTATCAAAGCAATAGAATTTCTGACTTTTCTTGTAATATTTTCACATTCATACAATAGTCGGATCAAGAAATAAACCAAAAAGCACGATTTACCTACACCTGATGTTCCAGTGACAATGAACTTATGACAGGAACCAGTTGATGAATTATTGATCAATAGATGATAAATGTCCTTGTATTCTTCTCTCACATATAATGCTGGCCTATTAATAACTGGGAACGATCTGTCATTAGGGCTCTTTATAATATTTTGTAAATTCATTTCTGAGATTTCCCCCAATTCTTCAGGTTTTTAAAAAAGGATACACAAAATGTAAAAGTTAAGAGCCAAATATGATAAACTTGATAAAATATTTGCAAATAATTGTTACCTTTATCTTGTGATAACTTCAATTGCTTCACTAAATCAATGATATTCTCGAATGATGGATCTGATAAGTGAAGAAAGATAATAAAAAAATTGTTAGCTCACAACACATTCTACACATCCTTGTTATTAAAGCTTACCTATCAATTTTTCTTTGTTGGGTTTAGTAGAAAGAGTTCGTTTTTCTGGTAGATTCCCTTTACCTTCAATCTAAATATGTATTAGAAAATTTGATTTAATTGATGAAGAGTGAACCTTTTAACTATATATATATGAATATAGTGTAAAAGATATTTGTAAAAAAGCAATCAATAATATGAATGTATTTAAAAACAAACCTGCCCTCTAAGTCGAATTATTTCTTTACTTAAATCATTAGATCATTTCTTCAATTAGTACGATTCAATTCGTAATTTATCTGATATGATTTTGAATTTTTAATATATCTCGTTCTCCATTTACTTCATTCAATACGGTTTTAATTTTATCATTGTCTACACTATTTTAAAAAAAATCAAAATTTATTACTAGAACTAGAGTGACGACGAGTGGTGATAACCACCACCATCCTTAAAACACTTATGCCTTTGCTTCTCCTTTATTGTCCTCTCTGTTTCTTTTATTTTTGTTTTGTTTATACATTTTGATTAAAAGAAAAAATAAAAATTAGTTAAAAAAACACACGTAAATAAAATAAATTATTATTATTGGCACTTGGTGTCGCACAAGGACTGTTTTTGGGACAGACGCGATATTTTTCTTTTTGGAAAAACAATCTTATTTTGACAAGATGACAAAACGTGGTTCTCCTAAAGAAGACGTGTTAATGACAGAGGTACACTTTTTTTTTAATTTGCATTGTCTTTTTTGGTTATTATAAATATTATAATTGAAATCAAAACGTGGAGCATATCATTGCTGGGTAATTATAAGATCCTTGTCAAGATGACAACGAATGAACGATTGGCATTTTGCTTTGCATAATCAATAATATTAATATTATTGATAATAAATAATTACAAGATGTCAAGGCAGCACAACTGAAACAATTCAATATGCAATGTTTGATTATCGAAAATTGGCAGATGTTGAAGCACACACACTGCCTTGAACACTTTACAGTCATTCTCACGTATTCCTTGTGTACACAAGGCTAATATGACTTGCGACCCCTCGATGTTACAATGATGCAACTGAATTCCAGAGGAAGGACGCAAAGCCCTGGAGTTTAGCAAGACTGCGCCAATTGTTAATGACACTTTCACTAATCTTCCCTCACAGCACAGCATAGTGTACATTTGATTTCATTGGCTAAATTATGTGACGATCTCCCTTCCAGATATCATGCAAAAAATAAAGTCACATGTTTCACAACATAAAAAAGATCAATGATCGATTTTGTCACATGTGATAAAACGAATGTCCACTATGCTCCACATAATAACATATTGGAAATGTTAGTACTAAGTAAAGTATGTCAAAATTGCGGATGCCGACGGATGCAGCTGGAATTAAGTTAAAAAAACATTAAAGAATATCTCTGTAAAGTTACAGTACGTGTTACATATCAACATATACCCATTTTAATTGAGCGCACAGTTTTCTTACTTTAAAAATTACGTTACACAGCATAAAACTTGGTGCAACATTCGAATGTCCACCATGCTATAGTTACTTACGTTCAAAAAATGAAGATCTTTTGACAAACCCTAATTTAACCTACGAAAATGTTGCTAGGTTTGCATGTGCTACAATGACAGATTGTACAAAAGTTCGTTTAAAATTATCATATTCACATTCAAAACATTTGCACAAAGTTTCAAATATAATGAGATTAGATAATGCACATGAAAATATTAATACTAATACTGCAAATCA